TAAGAAATTAAGATTAGAGTTAAGTTATCCCCTTAGACTTAGTGACCCCAGAATCTGGCAGTATATTAACAACTGTGATGTACTAACATGTACTGTACATTACCAACTGTGATGTACTAACATGTACTGTACATTACCAACTGTGATGTACTAACATGTACTGTACATTAACAACTGTGATGTACTAACATGTACTGTACATTACCAACTGTGTTGTACTAACATGTACTGTACATTACCAACTGTGATGTACTAACATGTACTGTACATTATCAACTGTGATGTACTAACATGTACTGTACATTACCAACTGTGATGTACTAACATGTACTGTACATTACCAACTGTGATGTACTAACATGTACTGTACATTACCAACTGTGATGTACTAACATGTACTGTACATTACCAACTGTGATGTACTAACATGTACTGTACATTACCAACTGTGATGTACTAACATGTACTGTACATTACCAACTGTGATGTACTGTACTCTCAGATGCTACTAGGTACATCCCAAGGGCTCTGTGTAATATATAATGTATGTTCTTATGGTAATGTATAACATACATTCATGTTATGCTAATCTGTGTAATTTGTTGTATATATTGAGTTGTTGTATATAATACATAATGGTGGTTGGGTGTGAAGTTGGCTTCTTGTACAAGGTGTTCCAAACTTGGGGTCTTGTGATGTTACTCCAATTATTAACTTATATGTTAATGTTAATTGAAGTAGTTTGAGGTGTCTACTTAATTGTCTTTTATTGTAACTTGTTGTAATTGTCTCATTAATAATTTGTGAATTAATGTAACTGTGATGTTATTAGCCACAATGCTTGGTGGGAGAATTGAGGAGGGAATGAAGGTAGAGAGAACCGGGAGGACTCACTGTAGACCAGACCTGTGTGTCTCGCTGCTTCACACAACTCAGTTGAGTTTAGGTCTGTGTGGATGGTCTTTGTCTGTGTGGATCTATCCTGTGAATCTACCTTGTAAATAATAATTGTACCAAGTACAGAAAGCAGGAGTTGGTGGCTATCCTTTGTCTTCCAGCACTGGTCCCCGTGAACACTTGACGTGCACTGACAACTGTAATAGGCCTCATGGGTTACTTGTTAGTGCTGTCAACTACAAACCCATAAGACACAGGTTCAGTGTTGTGGCCAGGCAGGGTTTGTGGGTCATTATCTTGTGGTGGTCTACACATAATATATGTAATATTATCTTTAATAAAAACATTAAATGATCTAATATATACACTACTTGGCTGCTCACTATGGAAGAATTATAAGATGCTGTCATTTAATATATATCTAATTAATATAAATTGTTCAAAGGTTAATGTATTTTTATATCATTATTGTTAATAAAATGTTTGTTATAATGTTTTATTATTCACATGAAAATATTAGGATGAAAAATAGTTCCATTAAGATTGACTTATATGTATGAGAGTAATATTTATCTGTCTGTCATCTTTATTTATCTAACATATTTATGTGAGGTGGATTAAGGGGTAGAGAAACCTCTCCCATATTTATGTGGGGTGGATTATGGGGTACAGAAACCTCTCCCATATTTATGTGGGGTGGATTATGGGGTACAGAAACCTCTCCCATATTTATATGGGGTGGATTATGGGGTACAGAAACCTCTCCCATATTTATGTGGGGTGGATTATGGGGTACAGAAACCTCTCCCATATTTATGTGGGGTGGATTATGGGGTACAGAAACCTCTCCCATATTTATGTGGGGTGGATTATGGGGTCCAGAAACCTCTCCCATATTTATGTGGGGTGGATTATGGGGTACAGAAACCTCTCCCATATTTATGGGGGATGGATTATGGGGTACAGAAACCTCTCCCATATTTATGTGGGGTGGATTATGGGGTACAAAAGTTGCCATATTTATTATAATAAAATGTAAAACATTAAATATTTCTATTTAATGATCATTCATTACTTATAATGTAAGTTTCATAAACCACCTATTAATATCTTATTTAGTAATGGTTTACACAGTTGATTTAGTCCAAGTAAACTATTTTATACCTTACGTGATGTATCATGTTGAGGAGCACGTCTTCTATGAGGGTCAATAAACAGTAATAGTTTACCCTCAAATAATAAAAGTTTTCTTTGGTAAGTTAGTCATTCAGTCACCAGGCGGCACTACGGGTCAACCTGTGGTGACTAATAGTGGAGAGTTGTTCTTCCTTATTGGATATTCCTTGACAACAACAACAACACGCTTCACCATCTTGTATACTTCCGTCAATTTTCTCGTAAAACAGTTTATTTCTCCTCCTCCTGGACATTACAGCAAGTGTTTGGTGAGTTATTAAGGTGTGTTATATGACCTTGTTTACCTTAATACTGTATTATGACCTTTCCTGCTATGTGGAATGATAAAGATTCATTTTATGCCATAACGGGAAATTGATTACTACAATAGATTTAACTAATGTGTTTTTTATCTTGTTATAAAGGAATATGACCTTTATTTGAGTGGTAGGTTGATATTTATGGAGATATGACCACTTTAACACTAGTAACAGAGGTCAGCAGTGACATAAGCAAGCTTGCGGATGACACCAAAATAGGGCGGCAGATTAATTCAGGTCAGGATGCAAATGAACTATAGGAGGATTTAAATAAACTGCTGGAGTGGTCAGAGAAATGGCCAATGAAATTCATCACGAGCAAGTGCAGCGTACTTAATATTGGAAGAACAAATACTGTCAATGTATACAGCCTTAACAACATCAACCAGTGCGTTAATGTTTGAAATAAAGCAGTAGGTAGTAGGCAGGGAGGGACTACCGCCTGGGAAGATATTGGAAGCATAATGTGTTGTCTAATGGTAGACCCTGCTGCCATATGTGACCAAGACCCAGGTTGCTCATCTGTCTTTCTGCCTCAGTTACACACAATTGCAGGGTCTCAATTGTTTCTCTTACTATTGACAAGACAACATACTGTACATATAGCGTTTCTAACTATTGATTATTAATATTTTTTCTTTATTATCATTATTACAGTGTTGTTATTAATGTTATTATTATTTTATTTTACTTTTAATTATAAATTTTATTTACTATGAATTACTATTATTATTATTAAATTTTCGCCCCCAGGCCCCAATGTGGGTCAGTGACCTGTGCCCAGGTGGGCTAATCACCTTAAAAAAAAAAAAAACAGAGTATTGGGTTTTATATCTAGAAGTGTAAGTAACAAGAGTGCAGAGGTCTTATTGCAACTATATCTTGCGCTAGTCAGGCCGCACCTCGATTATGCTGTTCAGTTCTGGTGCCCCTATTATAGAATGGATATCAATTCACTGGAGTCGGTGCAGCGAAGAATGACGAAAATGATTCCGGGACCTAGAAACCTTCCATATCAGGATAGGTTAAAGAAACTAAACTTGCATTCCCTAGAAAGCCGAAGAGTGAGGGGAGATATGATAGAAGTATTTAAGTGGGTGAAAGGAATCAATAAAGGGGATATAGATAAAGTTCTTATAATATCCGAGCAGGATAGGACTCGTAGCAACAGATTTAAGTTGGATAAGTTTAGGTTTAGGAGGGAGCTAGGAAGGAACTGGTTTACAAATAGGGTGGTGGACGAGTGGAACAAGCTTAGCAACTTTGTAGTAAGTGCTGGAACGCTGGAAAGTTTTAAAAGGAGGCTGGATAGATTCATGGATGATAGAGAGTGGTAGTAACTCTCGACAGGAGCTGCCATGCACAGGCCAACCGGCCTATTGCAGACTCCTTATGTTCTTATGTTCTTATGGTTAAAGATAGGCCAGTCCGTTACTGGGTGACGATGTGTCATAAACCCTCATTAGCTGTAATTAAACCTTTGTAATTACGTTTAGTTTAGAATATTTTCATTTTACACAAGTTGATTTAGTCACTTGTAGTTTTCATTTATAAATTGTACTTTTTATAAGAATATTATCTAAGGCAAAATATTTTGTTTCAGATACTGTGATGTTACATCTCAAGACCAAGTGTAATTAAGTAGAAGTTCACAATGTCAAGCAGAGATAAAAAGTTCTCCTGTGAGGAATGTGGCAAACAGTTTTGCTTAAAGTCTACTCTTCAGAAACATTTACTTGTGCACAATGGTATGAAGGAGTTTGAATGTGAGGAATGTGGGAAACATTTGTCATCTAAGAGTCATCTCAAAAGACACATTCTTGGACACAGTGGTGTAAGAAATTTTGAATGTGAGGAATGTGGAAAATGTTTCTCCCAGAAGAGATATCTCAAGGCACACATTCTTGGACACAGTGGTATTAAGAATTTTGAATGTGAGGAATGTGGGAAACATTTTGCAAAAAAGGGTACTCTCAAAACACACATTCTTGGACACAGTGGTATAAAGAAGTTTAAATGTGAGGAATGTGGGAAACATTTTACAGAAAGGGGTACTCTCAATACACACATTCTTGGACACAGTGGTGTAAAGAAATTTAAATGTGAGGAATGTGGGAAGCATTTTGCACAAAAGGGTACTCTCAAAAGACACATTCTTGGACACATTGGCATAAAGGAGTTTAAATGTGAGGAATGTGGGAAACATTTTGCACTAAAGTTTACTCTAAAGACACACATTCTTGGACACAGTGGTATAAAGGAGTTTATATGTGAGGAATGTGGGAAACATTTTGCAGAAAGGAGTACTCTCAATAAACACATTCTCGTACACAGTGGTATAAAAGAGTTTAAATGTGAGGAATGTGGGAAACATTTTGCACGAAAGAGTGCTCTCAAAACACACATTCTTGGACACAGTGGTATAAAGGAGTTTGAATGTGAGGAATGTGGGAAATGTTTCTCCCGGAAGGAAAATCTCAAACGTCATAAACGTGTGCATGAAAAAAACAGAATTCATTAAATGTTTGAATGACTTTAACAGAAGGTAAATGTGACTCATAAACTTGAATACAGTGATATACATCAATATAAAACCACTTGAACAAACTCTATGAATGTAGCAGAAATAAAGACAAGTGACAAATGCCACTTTTATAGATATTAAACACCAGTTATAATTATCTGCTCTCAGATGTAAATTTCTTCTACCATGGCCTTAGTACTTTACCATGACATGATAGAATATGTTAGAAAAATAAACTTGTGTTAGTTGAGGGGTATCCTATGAGTCTAGTAGAACTTGTACAATAATGTTGTTAACATGTAATGGTCACATGTAGACCCAGCCATGTTGATTTGGCTTGGTCAAGTCAGGTGATGTTGTTGACTTAGTCATGTCCTGTTGTCACCTGTGTATTGTACTAACATGTACTGTACATTACCATCTGTGATGTACTAACATGTACTGTACATTACCAACTGTGATGTACTAACATGTACTGTACATTACCAACTGTGATGTACTAACATGTACTGTACATTACCAACTGTGATGTACTAACATGTACTGTACATTACCAACTGTGATGTACTAACATGTACTGTACATTACCAACTGTGATGTACTAACATGTACTGTACATTACCAACTGTGATGTACTAACATGTACTGTACATTACCAACTGTGATGTACTAACATGTACTGTACATTACCAACTGTGATGTACTAACATGTACTGTACATTACCAACTGTGATGTACTAACATGTACTGTACATTACCAACTGTGATGTACTAACATGTACTGTACATTACCAACTGTGATGTACTAACATGTACTGTACATTACCAACTGTGATGTACTAACATGTACTGTACATTACCAACTGTGATGTACTAACATGTACTGTACATTACCAACTGTGATGTACTAACATGTACTGTACATTACCAACTGTGATGTACTAACATGTACTGTACATTACCAACTGTGATGTACTAACATGTACTGTACATTACCAACTGTGATGTACTGTACTGTCAGATGCTACTAGGTACATCCCAAGGGCTCTGTGTAATATATAATGTATGTTCTTATGGTAATGTATAACATACATTCATGTTATGCTAATCTGTGTAATTTGTTGTATATAGTGAGTTGTTGTATATAATACATAATGGTGGTTGGGTGTGAAGTTGGCTTCTTGTACAAGGTGTTCCAAACTTGGGGTCTTGTGATGTTACTCCAATTATTAACTTATATGTTAATGTTAATTGAAGTAGTTTGAGGTGTCTACTTAATTGTCTTTTATTGTAACTTGTTGTAATTGTTTCATTACTAATTTGTGAATTAATGTAACTGTAATGTTATTAGCCACAATGCTTGGTGGGAGAGTTGAGGAGGGAATGAAGGTAGAGAGAACCGGGAGGACTCACTGTAGACCAGACCTGTGTGTCTCGCTGCTTCACACAACTCAGTTGAGTTTAGGTCTGTGTGGATGGTCTTTGTCTGTGTGGATCTATCCTGTGAATCTACCTTGTAAATAATAATTGTACCAAGTACAGAAAGCAGGAGTTGGTGGCTATCCTTTGTCTTCCAGCACTGGTCCCCGTGAACACTTGACATGCACTGACAACTGTAATAGGCCTCATGGGTTACTTGTTAGTGCTGTCAACTACAAACTCATAAGACACAGGTTCAGTGTTGTGGCCAGGCAGGGTTTGTGGGTCATTATCTTGTGGTGGTCTACACATAATATATGTAATATTATCTTTAATAAAAACATTAAATGATCAAATATATACTTGGCTGCTCACTAATGGTAGAATTAGAAGAGCTGTCATTTAAAACATATAGAATTAAGATAAATTGTTCAAATGTTAAGGTAAATTTTATATCAATATTGTTAATAAAATGTTTGTTATAATTTTGTTTTATTATTCACATGAAAATATTAGGATGAAAAATAGTTCCTTTAAGATTGACTTATATGTATGAGAGTAATATTTATCTGTCTGTCTTCTTTATTTATCTAACATATTTATGTGGGGTGGATTATGGGGTACAGAAACCTCTCCCATATTTATGTGGGGTGGATTATGGGGTACAGAAACCTCTCCCATATTTATGTGGGGTGGATTATGGGGTACAGAAACCTCTCCCATATTTATGTCGGGTGGATTATGGGGTACAGAAAACTCTCCCATATTTATGTCGGGTTGATTATGAGGAACAGAAACCTCTCCCATATTTATGTGGGGTGGATTATGGGTTACAGAAACCTCTCCCATATTTATGGGGGGTGGATTAAGGGGTACAAACCTCTCCCATATATTTGGGGGGTGGGTTATGGGGTACAGAAATCTCTCCCATATTTATGTCGGGTGGATTATGGGGTACAGAAACCTCTCCCATATTTATGTCGGGTGGATTATGGGTACAGAAACCTCTCCCATATTTATGGGGGGTGGATTATGGGGTACAGAAACCTCTCCCATATTTATGGTTGGGTGGATTATAAGGTACAGAAACCTTCTCCCATATTTATGTGGGGTGGATTATGGGGTACAGAAACCTCTCCCATATTTATGGGGGTGGATTATGGGGTACAGAAACCTCTCCCATATTTATGTGGGGTGGATTATGGGGTACAGAAACCTCTCCCATATTTATGGGGTGGATTATGGGGTACAGAAACCTCTCCCATATTTATTGGGGTATGAAACCTCTCCATATTTATGGGGTGGATTATGGGGTACAGAAACCTCTCCCATATTTATGGGGGTGGATTATGGGGTACAGAAACCTCTCCCATATTTATTCGGGTGGATTATGGGGTACAGAAACCTCTCCCATATTTATGTGGGGTGGATTATGGGGTACAGAAACCTCTCCCATATTTATGTGGGGTGGATTATGGGGTACAGAAACCTCTCCCATATTTATGTGGGGTGGATAATGGGGTACAGAAACCTCTCCCATATTTATGTGGGGTGGATAATGGGGTACAAAAGGTGCCATATTTATTATAATAAAATGTAAAACATTAAATATTTCTATTTAATGATCATTCATTACTTATAATGTAAGTTTCATAAACCACCTATTAATATCTTATTTAGTAATGGTTTACACAGTTGATTTAGTCCAAGTAAACTATTTTATACCTTACGTGATGTATCATGTTGAGGAGCACGTCTTCTATGAGGGTCAATAAACAGTAATAGTTTACCCTCAAATAATAAAAGTTTTCTTTGGTAAGTTAGTCATTCAGTCACCAGGCGGCACTACGGGTCAACCTGTGGTGACTAATAGTGGAGAGTTGTTCTTCCTTATTGGATATTCCTTGACAACAACAACAACACGCTTCACCATCTTGTATACTTCCGTCAATTTTCTCGTAAAACAGTTTATTTCTCCTCCTCCTGGACATTACAGCAAGTGTTTGGTGAGTTATTAAGGTGTGTTATATGACCTTGTTTACCTTAATACTGTATTATGACCTTTCCTGCTATGTGGAATGATAAAGATTCATTTTATGCCATAACGGGAAATTGATTACTACAATAGATTTAACTAATGTGTTTTTTATCTTGTTATAAAGGAATATGACCTTTATTTGAGTGGTAGGTTGATATTTATGGAGATATGACCACTTTAACACTAGTAACAGAGGTCAGCAGTGACATAAGCAAGCTTGCGGATGACACCAAAATAGGGCGGCAGATTAATTCAGGTCAGGATGCAAATGAACTATAGGAGGATTTAAATAAACTGCAGGAGTAGTCAGAGAAATGGCCAATGAAATTCATCACGAGCAAGTGCAGCGTACTTAATATTGGAAGAACAAATACTGTCAATGTATACAGCCTTAACAACATCAACCAGTGCGTTAATGTTTGAAATAAAGCAGTAGGTAGTAGGCAGGGAGGGACTACCGCCTGGGAAGATATTGGAAGCATAATGTGTTGTCTAATGGTAGACCCTGCTGCCATATGTGACCAAGACCCAGGTTGATGATCTGTCTTTCTGCCTCAGTTACACACAATTGCAGGGTCTCAATTGCTTCTCTTACTATTGACAAGACAACAGTCTGTACATATAGCGTTTCTAACTATTGATTATTAATATTTTTTCTTTATTATCATTATTACAGTGTTGTTATTAATGTTATTATTGTTATTATTTTATTTTACTTTTAATTAAAAATTTTATTTACTATGAATTACTATTATTATTATTAAATTTTCGCCCCCAGGCCCCGATGTGGGTCAATGACCTGTGCCCAGGTGGGCTAATCCCCTTAAAAAAAAAAAAAAAAAAAAAAACAGAGTATTAGATTTTATATCTAGAAGTGTAAGTAACAAGAGTGCAGAGGTCTTATTGCAACTATATCTTGCGCTAGTCAGGCCGCACCTCGATTATGCTGTTCAGTTCTGGTGCCCCTATTATAGAATGGATATCAATTCACTAGAGTCGGTGCAGCGAAGAATGACGAAAATGATTCCGGGACTTAGAAACCTTCCATATCAGGATAGGTTAAAGAAACTAAACTTGCATTCCTTAGAAAGCCGAAGAGTGCGGGGAGATATGATAGAAGTATTTAAGTGGGTGAAAGGAATCAATAAAGGGGATATAGATAAAGTTCTTATAATATCCGAGCAGGATAGGACTCGTAGCAACAGATTTAAGTTGGATAAGTTTAGGTTTAGGAGGGAGCTAGGAAGGAACTGGTTTACAAATAGGCTGGTGGACGAGTGGAACAAGCTTAGCAACTTTGTAGTAAGTACTGGAACGCTGGAAAGTTTTAAAAGGAGGCTGGATAGATTCATGGATGATAGAGAGTGGTAGTAACTCTCGACAGGAGCTGCCATGCACAGGCCAACCGGCCTATTGCAGACTCCTTATGTTCTTATGGTTAAAGATAGGCCAGTCCGTTACTGGGTGACGATGTGTCATAAACCCCCATTAGCTGTAATTAAACCTTTGTAATTACATTTAGAATATTTTCATTTTACACAAGTTGATTTAGTCACTTGTAGTTTTCATTTATAAATTGTACTTTTTATAAGAATATTATCTAAGGCAAAATATTTTGTTTCAGATACTGTGATGTCACATCTCAAGACCAAGTGTAATTAAGTAGAAGTTCACAATGTCAAGCAGAGATAAAAAGTTCTCCTGTGAGGAATGTGGCAAACAGTTTTGCTTAAAGTCTACTCTTCAGACACATTTACTTGTGCACAATGGTATGAAGGAGTTTGAATGTGAGGAATGTGGGAAACATTTGTCATCTAAGAGTACTCTCAAGAGACACATTCTTGGACACAGTGGTGTAAGAAATTTTCAATGTGAGGAATGTGGAAAACATTTTGCACAAAAGAGTATTCTCAAGAGACACATTCTTGGACACAGTGGTATAAAAAAGTTTAAATGTAAGGAATGTGGGAAACATTTTGCAGAAAGGGGTACTCTCAATAGACACATTCTTGGACACAGTGGTATAAAAAAGTTTAAATGTGAGGAATGTGGGAAACATTTTGTACATAAGAGTGCTCTCAATAAACACATTCTTGGACACAGTGGTGTAAAGAAGTTTAAATGTGAGGAATGTGGGAAACATTTTGCACAAAAGGGTATTCTCAAGACACACATTCTTGGACACAGTGGTGTAAAGGAGTTTGAATGTGAGGAATGTGGGAAACATTTTGCACAAAAGGGTATTCTCAAGACACACATTCTTGGACACAGTGGTGTAAAGGAGTTTGAATGTGAGGAATGTGGGAAACATTTTGCACTAAAGGGTGCTCTCAAGACACACATTCTTGGACACAGTGGTATAAAAGAGTTTAAATGTGAGGAATGTGGGAAACATTTTGCAAAAAAGAGTACCCTCAAGGACCACATTCTTGTACACAGTGGTGTAAAGAAATTTAAATGTGAGGAATGTGGGAAACATTTTGCACTAAAGGGTAATCTCAAGACACACATTCTTGGACACAGTGGTGTAAAGAAATTTAAATGTGAGGAATGTGGAAAACATTTTGCACAAAAGGCTGTTCTCAACAGACACATTCTTGGACACAGTGGTGTAAAGAAATTTAAATGTGAGGAATGTGGGAAACATTTTGCACGAAAGAGTACTCTCAAGACACACATTCTTGGACACAGTGGAATAAAGAAGTTTGAATGTGAGGAATGTGGGAAATGTTTCTCCCAGAAGGGTCATCTCAAGAGACATATTCTTGGACACAGTGGTGTAAAGGAGTTTGAATGTGAGGAATGTGGGAAATGTTTCTCCCTGAAGGGTAATCTCAAACGTCATAAACTTGTGCATGAAAAAAACAGAATTCAATAAATGTTTGAATGACTTTAACAGAAGGTAAATGTGCCACATAAACTTGAATACAGCGATATACATCAATATAAAACCACTTGAACAAACTCCATGAATGTAGCTGAAATAAAGACAAGTGACAAATGCCACTTTTATAGTTATTAAATACAAGTTATAATTATCTGCCTTTAAGATGTAAATTTCTTCTACCATGGCCTTAGTGTAGACATTTGGTGTTGGTTAAATATCACTCATAATAATTCTCCATTTTGTTTCATCAGCCTTTTTAATAATGTTATTTACAGTACAGTAGTAAGCAAAGGTTAAACTTATCATCTTTGTGCTTAAAATTTCATCTTCACTATATAAGCTTTGTTGAACATTGATGAACTCTCATTTACTATAATTTGTGCATCAGTAGTTGTGTCAACTGTGTACGTCTGTCTTTATTTACACTTGACGTAAGTTTTGTCACAAGTACGTACATTAACACGGGTAGTAAATCATCTTGGTAAAGTAGTACAGTGGTGGTAGACCATTTGTTATAGTCAAGGTGTTGTCATTATCTCACGGAAACTCTTCAATCTCTGTTGAAATTGTACGTAAATATTTGATAAGTTTTGCTCAACTCTGACGAGATATTTTGATATTTTATCTTGAGTAAAATGGTTGGTAGTTTTGATTCATGTTTTAAATATATTCTTTCATCACTTACAGATATATGGTACCATTGTCTGGTAAATAATGGTTAGGGTTCATATATAGTACCTGGTGTTATGGGGCTGATGAACTTTAACACCTCTTAACTGTATATAATATCATGTTTAATATATTGTTCAGTTAGCATCTTGGACCTTAGTTAGGTAACTCTTCTTGGTTATATATCAATTCATCCTTGGGCAGTCATTTTCTTAAAGTAGCCAATGCTGAAATGTCAAACTCTGGGTTAAAATTAGTTGTTTGATCATGTCAAGCAGAAGACTTGTTTAAATTAACATACAGTATTTAGATATTTGCTGTTCTTATATACAACTTTTCCTAATAGTACTGGCATGTGTTTTTCTAACAATGGTGTTTTAAAAAATGATTGCTACAAGAATGTCATTAATTTTGTGCACCTGAATATATAGATTTATGTTAATACAGGCTGTCCCCAACTTACAACAGGGATAAGTTCCTGGACCCATAGTTTAGGTTAGGTTAAAGCCCATACAAAACAACAATAATATCCCATATATAACAAATAATGTAAATAAAGTGATGTTAAACAATATATAAGGATAAGAATAATGTAAAAAATGGGATTTTAATGACAAGTTTTTGTGGTGAATGTATTGGGATCCCGTTCATTAGTGCGGGTGATGGTAAGTCGGACGGTCGTAACTCGGGGACTGCCTGTATACACTTTATGTTTGGCCATGATGTGCCACAAACATTAATATCTTACAGAATGAGATATAAGTATTTAAACTATTGCTGAATATTTTATTACAACCCCAATATTGTAGAACATGTGTACAGTAATGGCTGGTCTTCAGATACTGTATGTGGATGTACTAAATTAATATTGCTGTAATTGCCCTAAAATTCATTATGAGTAAAGAAGCATTAAAATAATAAGTTTGTTATTTATGGAATTTAATGAGCAGAAGATTCCATGGCTGGTTTATATTTTGAGTTGAGAGCCAAATGTTAGATTGGTCTGGACGACGCCCGGGGAGGAGCCAAGGTAATATTTATGATAATTTACTGTTTTATGACCGTAATTATTGCTGGAAATGATTCTAGATAGAATATTATTAAACAACATGATGGCAAGGGTTGAAGGTGACTGCCAATAACTCATAGAGATGAGTATTTTGTATAAATTTGGGTCACTTGTATATTACATTATGTATACAGTGAACTGGAATCATAATATATTATTTATTGACATCATATCAATATTGTCTCCATATTACAAGTCCTACTGCGTCCCGAGAGACACGAGTGCCAGTGTATTACGTTGGTACTCGTGTCACGCAGAACACACTATAACTTGTGGTATGGAGACAATATTTATATGATTTAAGGACTGGGAGTTAGCACCACCAAAGAGTGGGTAGCATACAAGAATTAAATCTAAATTATTATGTATAAGTAGGAGGTGACATAGTGGTCAGTGACTCTTCCTGTGGTAGGAGGTCCCTGACAGTGGGACAGTCAAGGCAGTAGTGTTGAGGGAAGTTAGCATTGGGACAGTTACTGAGTTTACAGGAAGAGAAGTGCAGGCCATCTCCCACCTCAGATACTAACCTAATGCTAAAAAAGACATTATGTCTGCTGACCATAAGTCCACTTCGACGATACTTGTGTGGACGAGGAAGAAAGTGATCATAGTTTTGGGTGGATATATCTTCAGCCAGTTCACTATGCCTGTGATGGATTGTAGGGAGAAGAGCGGCTTAACGTATTCCCTCTCAATAGGGTCATGTTGGGCTTATATTGAGGCCTAACAGATCATGGTTGGACAGTCAGAGTTTGGAGAATCAGTTATTGATTAATCTCTTTTTTTTTTCTTTTTACTTTTATCCTCTTCACCACTGAACGACTCGTTAGCTGCTTGGGAGATCGGTCACGTCTGCGTTACGCACTGTTGGCAAGTACTGGCTCCTGAATGTACCTGAACCAGCTCCAGTGTTGGTCAAGTCTGGTCTTGAAACAGCTCACACTCGGTGCCGTCACAACACTCTGGTAGATTGTTCCAAGAATTCACAACTCTCACTCCGAAAAAGTTTGCCCTCACAGTTTTCTGGACTTGCGGCTTCTTCAACCTTGAGCTGTGACCCCTTGTGGGGCGAGCGTCTGCCAGCTCCAGGTAAGGACACTCGACTGAGTAGTGCCCCTGAGATGCTTATTCACCTCAGTTAGGTCCCCACTTGCCCGTCTGTAGTATAAGCTAGACAAGTTCAGGCGCTCCAATCTCTCAGGGTAGCTGAGGTGCCATAGTGCAGGCACCAGTCTGGTGGCCCTCCTTTGAACATTTTCTCAGGGACCAGACGGGGTAACAGTACTCCAGATGGGGAAGCACTTCACTCTTCAAGATCGTTATGAGGGACGGACCGTCTAGATATCTGAACGACCTTCTTATAAGACCCAATAATTTATTTGCCTGATTTACCTTCTTCTCGCAATGGCCCGAGAACTTCAGCTCATTGTCAACATACACTCCTAGGTCCTTCTCACATTCAGTCTCAACTAGTGCAGTTTCTTCATTCCATTGGGACATATGATACGCCTCCTTACCGTTGGTACGCCCCAGGTGCATCCTCTTACACTTCGTGACATTGAATCTCGGCAGACATTTCTTCGACCATTCTTGGAGCCCACAGATGTCCTTCTGCATCTCTTCACAGTCCGCTTGGTTCTTAATTTCCCGAAATAACTTGGCGTCATCGGCAAACATTTGTATGGAGGAGTGTACAACGTCAGGTATATCATTTATGAAACAAACAAACAACATCGGGCCCAATACACTGTCCTGTGGTGCCCCGCTTGTGACAGGTACGGATGATGATTTCCTGCCATTAATCACCACACACTGCTTGCGGTCATGTCGGAAGTCTACTATCCACATTAGGACATTTCCCCGAATTCCGTACCCTTGAGTTTAATTTTCAGCCCAGTACTTGCCAACAGTGCCTAACAGAGACGTGACCGATCGCCCAAGCGGCTAACGAGTCAATCATTTGGTGAAGAGGATGAGAGTAAGTCCTGGCCTCATGTCGCTTCCCATAACAGATTAGGGAAGGTTTTATGCTATTGTTACACTTTCTTGGATAAATTCTGGATAATATTATTCCTAATAAGTAAAAAAGTAAATTATTGACCTCCCGAACGGCTAGTAAGCAGATAAATGCTGAAAAATAAATCATTTTAAGCTTGGCATGACGAGGACGATACTCTATTGTTTAG